CTTAAGGAAAAAAAACAAAAAACAAATTAGCAAGTACTGGATGTCGGCTAAGGAAGCCTCCCCAAATGGCTCCATTCATTAGTAAACAAATGCTACAGGCAAAATCCATTCAGGACAAAAATACTTCAAAATGCCTTGCAGCAAAACTTACAGCTAACAATAACAGAGCAATAGAATTAGAACCAGTAACCCCTCACCCCAAAATCCAACTGTCAGATCGTCCTGGAATTGGTGCTCCTCAAAAAATAGCTGACGAACAGGTACGATCAACAATGGTAGTTTAATTCACTCCATCTGGATTAAAGTCAGCACTGGGAGTGGTTTGCTCCCAGTGCTGTATATAGGCCTCAGCCGTGCACCACACCCACAATTTCCTATCCCACCCATCAAACCAGCATCCGGTCCACTAATCCATGTACTCCCTCCCCCCCCAGTCAGTTCCTTAGCTTATAATCGTCCTGATCAGTCACTCAGCTGAGTGTCGCTGCAGTCTGGCTCCTCCTTGTTTAACTGGCATCAGCCCGGCGAGGCGCACACTGATGACATCATTGGGAGTGTCGGCATGCATCACAGCTACCATAGGCCCGCCCACCAAAGCCAGTGACGCCCATCAATCCCAGATGCCGAGGGGAACTCGCCGACATAGATTTGGAGCCAGTAAGCAGTGTAGAGACCGGGTGAGCACTTCCCTAGGTCCCCTGACAACTTGGCCTCGCAGGGCTCGACACCAACACAAGCCATTAGCCACAATAGAAATTGCCAAACACTCCTTAAGAACACAAAGCCCACATTGCACAAAGTCACAAAAATCACATAAGAATCCTTCCACTCTCCTGGTTTGTTGTTCAGCTGATCCAGAACTGAACTGCTGAAACAGCACTTTGCTTCTGCCAATAAACATCTCTCAAGCAGACAACTTCCTCTTATCTATTTCAAATGGCAGCACTTCATTTTTTTCCTTTTCTCTTCCCTGGAAAGCAAGCCCCCAGCTTTTTCTTCCAACACTTCCTTCCTTTCCGTTTTCCTCCCTCCCTCCCTCCATGCCTCACCTCCAGCTGATGCTGCCTTGCTTCATTCCTTGTGAAAGGTGACCCCTCCCCGCTGCATTTCTTGCCTGTTTGTCGCTGCCACCTGTGTGCGCGCCTGGCACAGATGGCTGCCATAGAAGTTGTAGATCAGCTCCCAGCAGGTCTGTGTGATCTCCTCTCCTCTCTGCCCCCCTCCTTCAGTGCAGCTCCAGCTGATTCCTCTTGCCAAGGCTGCATCTTTTTTTTTGTCTCCCTCTCCCGCCCAAACTGCCTCCTTTTTTAGCCTCTCCTGTCTCTGCCCCCCCTTCTCCTTTCTCTTCCAGGTGAGCTGGAAGTGCCCATTCTGGGGCCTTTGCCTTACCCTAGCTGCCCTGCAGCTCCTGAGGACTCTATCATGGCAAGTCCTGCGCTGCGTCACTTTGGCTCATTCCCTCCCCCACTACACTTGGCTAGGCTGGGCAGGGCCGCATACCACCTGCCAGGTGCCAATGTACCACCGGTTGAAAAGCCCTGATCTAAATGATTATTATATCTTTTTACGGAAAATTTGGGCTAAAATGAGTCAAACATAAGGCAGACTTAAACTTATTAAATTGCTCCTTATACGTGAGGAGCTGTCAGAACCTCGGGAGATGTTTTCACCACAAAAGAAAATGTGGGAAGTACTCAACATGTTTATATTTTATGTCTATAATAATATGAATTTAACAGCTCTGTGCAACACTTCAGAGTCACTCTCAAAAAAGAAAAAAAAAACCTTTGCGGAATACAGGAGTGTAATGTTGTACCTGTTGGCAACACTATGTGGCTTTTCTTTCTCAGAATTCCATAGGGAAGGCTTGTAATGCCCCCCAAAAGTGCAGTTGCTTACAACATTGAAAGCAGTTATGTCACCTGCATTAAAAGCACATTGTCACCTGCATTAAAACAGGTGATCAAATCTGAACAACTGCAAGCTCAAATACTTGATTATCTCACATAGAGGAAAAAGGAGAAAGGTAAGATCATACCTCTTAAGCAATGTTTCTCAACATCAGCAATTTTAAGTTTTGTAGACATCAACTCCCAGAATTTCATAGCCAGCATGGGTATTTTTTTCTGTTTCCTTAAATGGTAGATTCACTCAAAACAAATATTCCTGAAAGTAACAAGGGCTCAAGCCATAAAGGGACTTGTAGATAATAACCAGCACCTTTTTGGATCTAGCAGTCAACCAGTATAATCCCATAACGTAAGGATTGTTCTACTAAACCAGTTAGAATTTCCCAGCATGTAGACAGCTGCATTACTGTATATGCCATCTGCAACTTTAATTCATTTTGAAGGGCATCCCCATATGAAACAAATTGCAGTAGTGTAATTGAAATCTGACAAATGTCATGTGTCACTTCAGCATTTTCTGTTTCAGGCTAGGAGCACCTGATACGTGCCATAGCAGCTGCTACTGACCAAAGACTTTCCTGGTCACAAATTTAATTTGCTGCTCTAGCAAAAATCCAGCAGAAACCCCAATAACACACCTTTTCTTATTTTGATATTACATACAAATTAAGGGATGTCTGCTGCTTTATGTATCAGCATTCTCTTGATGCAAAACTTAGGAATATATTCTATTTCATGCTGGGATGTATGGTTTACACAGCTGAGAAGTGTAGCTATGTATTATATTGTCACTGTTGGCTGTGGGCAGCCTTAACCATAGTTTCATGGGGTTGTAGACAACTATAAGTCCAATATCCAAAGAACAAATCATGTTTCTTAATTACCTCACCCACAAACTACATCTCATTGTGTGGGCTGATCTGGCTCTGAAGGGAACCAAACATATTGGTACCGATGATACAGATATGAACGTAAAAGTACTCTGTTGGAATATTCATGAACAGGAAAAGTCAGTCAGCCAATGTGAACAAAGTGCTACTGAGTCTGTGCAAAGGAGTATTGAGTTAGGAGCTGGATTTCCAGTCTCAGGTTTGTCTATCTCTCTGTAAGAAGTCTTCAATTGAGCTATGTTGCTGTAAAGAAGAATGTATGGTATTGTAAATATTTTGATATAAATATAAAGAAGTTATTTTGAATCAGCCAAATGCAGTCAACTGTGAGAGCTTCTGATTTATTTTTTCACCAATAGAGAAATTAAAATTCTCTAACAAACTCACTTGTTAGAAGTCTCCCCCCCTCCACCTGATGTAACTATCCAGAGCATGAACATTCTTCTACCCATTTCTGAAGAGGAGCAGTTCAGGGTCAGGATTTGACACAATGGTGGAGGGATGGTCACAGCCCCTTCCCATTCCTCATACCTAGAGGGAAATTTTCTGGCATCTCCTGGGTCAATGGATTTAGAAAAGAAGCAACATAGAGGGAAGTATCCATGAGAAGTACAGTAGATGGTCAGAAGTAGAGAGTTTAGGACCAAGCAGGTATGTTACCATAGCAATGAACAGAAGTCATCAGAATTTCCACAGAGAAAGAGCTGGATCTCAATATGTTGGAATACCTAGAGGGAGGGGAAAGTATGTAAAATTTGAACCCTGAGACTGATATCTTGAATGAAAATAAAGACTAGGGGTAACATGATATCAGTGTTCCAATATTTGAGCGGCTGCTATTTTCCAAAGCAACAGAAGGCAAGACAAGAAATAATGGATCAAAATTAATCAAGGAGAGAAGCAACTTAGAACTAAGAAGAAACTTCCTAATAGTGATAACAATTAACCAGTGGAATAGCTTGCCTTCAGAAGTTGTGGGAGCTCCATCAATGGAGGCTTTTAAGAAGAGACTGGACAGCTACCTGTCAGGCATGGTATTGGTATAGGGCAGTGATGGTGCCCAAACTGTGACCCAAAATCCATTTATTTATTGCAAAGTGCCAGGACCACATCAGAATTGTGGTGCCTGAGGGGGAGGGACGTGGGCATGACTGCAGTGGTCACGGCAGACTGGGGGGGCATGGCCATGGTGGGCATGGCCACCTTGATTTTGCTCATGGGGGGATGCCTGTGGGTGCCAGGCTGGGTTGGGGGAGATCCAGGAGGGTCTTTGGTGGGTGGGGCAGTGGACAGGAGGCTCATCCTGCGGGGGGCAGGGGGCAGGGTGGGGGTGCCACTGCCGCAGGGCAAGGCAAAGTGAGGCAGAGGCCAGATAGAGTGGAAACCTGAAAAATGAAATGGCTGCTTTAATGAATAGCAGAGAGATTCTGGGCTTATGTAGTCAAAATATTTTTTCCATTAAAATTTTTAACTATACACAGTCATAAGAGATTTAATCTATTGTGTAAAATATAACATAGAATGTCACAACTCAATATCATTTAAAAGAAAACTCCATTTTAAATAGGCTTACAAGTTGCCAGTATCTAGACAAACATTGTCTGGGCTTAGCTGCTTTGTGCTTTGATCTTTGTGTTTTGGTAAAAATTGTGGGACTATAAATTAGATTGGAAAGTTTAAAAAAGAAAACTTCCTGGAAGAATGCAGTGGCATGTCAAATAATTTTGTCCCTCACTGTAGGTTCTCCTGCTTGAGCATGCTGTTTTTATTTAGGCAGTATAGCTTATGATATAGATTGTAAAAATGTAAATAAGAATAATTAACATTGTAGTTTAATAACTCTTGAGGGCACCAAATCAGAGGCATTGCTTTGAACAGTTTAAACTGATGCCATGTTCTAAAGGCGAAATTTCTATGTTCACCTGCAGGAATGTACAAGTCCATGAAAATCTTTTCCTTTTTTGTTTTAACTCCCATAATAGGAAATATTATGTTACTCTAATACACTTTACAAATACATTATTCAACGTTATTATATATCAAATTCTGAATTATGTATTTTTGAAAAAGAACACCTATCTAGTTTGTGCTATGAGAGACAGATTTCCAAGTTATTTGCTTTGCTACTCATTGTGGGAAAAAAAATGATATGAGCTACTTTCTTTGAAGTCCTGTAAATCCATTTTTTTTCACTTTGCAGTGGGAGAAACTACAGATGACAACAAGTGAAAGAAGAAAAATAGTTTGCTCAGTCACATTCCACATTATTGCTATTACCTGTGTAGTTTGGTCATTGTACGTATTGATAGATCGGACTGCTGAGGAAATTAAGCAAGGCAATGACAATGGTGAGTATATTGATCATTTTCTACTTTCACATAGTGTTACTTGCAGAATCAGTAGAAATACTCTATATTTCGCTAATACACACACTCAAAACATAAGAGTGGGTTTTATTTGCATATCCTTTCTATATTATAATCAGTTCTTGAGACACCAAAGCACCATAATTTAAATAATCGTTAAACATTTCTATATCACATCGTCTCTTCCTTTCACAGAATCCAACATTTTTAAGAATCCCTCTTATATATTCATGAATCCAAGTCGCTACCTCTTATATGTCCAAACAAGCAGTTCAAAATAGTTAATGGTTATGATTTTCTGTGGATGACATAACCTAGGAAATTATCTCCCAAACACTGTGAATAGAAAAGATTGTAAGTTTCCTTCAGGTTGATTTCCTGATCATTTCATGTCCATAAAGTTTTCTTGGCAAGAGTTGGAAGTAATTTGCCATTGACTTCTTCCAGGTTTGTTTCTTCCCCAAGACCTACAATTCCCTCATCCAAGGGCTAACCAGGCCTAACCTTACTTCACTTCCACACCCATACAAAGTTGGACAACTTCTGCCATCAGCTGAGATCAAGGATGGAAAGATGCAAGAGAAATCAAAATAAATCAATAATCCTATATAGTTTCCAACCACAACTATAGTAGCAGAATCCTGCAAACACTGAATCTAGAAAGATTCCGTGCTTTCTGTACAGCATGTTGCATGCTGCAGCTATTTGCAGAATCAAATGTTATTGTTCCTCTACTACACACAGTACTTGCCACAGGAAAATATAGCTTCTATAGAAAGCACTCTAAAGACTGCTTAGGATACATACTATATGTGCCTGCCATTATTTGTTTTATTAAATAAAACAATCCTGTATATAGATATCTAATCAGTGACAGGTATACGACTTAATTTGATCACCTTGCTTCTATCAATTTGTTTTCTGTAGATTAAAATATTTTGTGAACGCAGCTTATTTGGTCATTCAGTGTGTTGTGCAAAGCCAGAAAATGGTCAATATAGTGATCTTAAATATTCAGCTACTAAGTTCAAGTGTACATGTTTATTTATTTATTTGTTAAATTTATTTGCCTCCTATCTCGCCATGGGGCTACCTTGGGCGGCTTACAATAATAAAAGAGAAGAAAAGGAGTGTAAGTAGAAGAAAAATAATAGAACAATAAAATAAACAATAACAAAGGAACAAAACTAGAAGAAATACATCAATATGTTCCTCTATATCACTGGAGTTTTAAATTGTTTAAATTATTCTGAAATACATTTCTATTTTCTTACTGGTTTCCACTATGTTCTTATTTATATATTTTTTACTAATAAAACCAAGTATAGGATCTTCACTTTAAAAAGTGCAATATTTTCTCCTTTAATGATCCATTTGCCAAATAAATGATGTGTGGCATTTTTAGAAAATGTCAGAAAAAAACCTTCAGTGATAGAATAACAATGACAATTCAAAGTATATAAGCAAATCTGATCTCAAAATAATATTCTTGTTTATTGTCTGGAAACATCTTTTGATTCTAAAAGTCTATTAAAAGTTCAAATGCAAAATAATTTATAGATATCAAATTGAACCAACACTGACTTTCTACCACACTAGAAATAATGTTATTTATTCTTTTAACTGCTTCAAAAGTAGAAACTTGTACATTTTCAGTTGACCTGATAAGATGTAGTTTTCTTCCTTTTCTTTTTCCTTCCATTCATTCATCCTTCATTTATTTGTTTTGAAACTCAGTCAGCTCTCATTCTATACAACAATCAAATCCCCTGAAACTATTTCTTTTGTACCATTCAATCACTTTGTATTCAGTCTACATTCATTCTTGATGATTTTTTTATTACAACACTTAAGTCATCCATTCCTGCTACAGCCAACTTGAAGATTTTGCTTCTCAAACACTCATTTCCTTATAACAGAGTATGCAAATCATTTCACTGTAACAGACTACATACTACTTATTACCAGCAGCTGATTAAAATTTCTCATCTTTAGTAAGCATTCCACAAGGTACATAAATGATTTTTAAAAACCTAGAAGTAGAATGTATGTGAAATAGAATATATGTATCATTTACAATCATTCATCCAATTTTTCCTGTCAGCTTAGATTTTCTTGATCTTTCATGCATTGATAGCCAGATCTGTATTCCGTTTTGTATCATGCAATATAATATTCATTGTAAATTGTTCAGGTTCACAGCCTGCAACATGGCATCTTAGGAATATAAGGTACAGACACATTCACTGCAAGCATCCCATATAAATTAATCCATAAAAAGTAGTAAACAAAGGAATGTCACGCAACCTTGACTTACTCTTTTCAATCTTGAACCAGACTAAGTGTATCATTTATTCTCAAGTATGCTTTGCTTCTGTCATATAACAGTTTTACTGACTTCAGTAATCGACTTCCCATTCAGTGTGCGTGTAAAACATTGTATAATTTAGCCTATTAAATCTAACCAACCATAAATGTTTTCTCACATTCAGACATTTTTCAATGATTGCTAAAAAGCAGAAATATGAACATGAGCAGCCTAAAATAAAGCTACACTGCACTTTCCAAATGGTATTCCTCCTTATCTCTTATATCACTTTAGACAGAATTCTGTCAAACTTCTTGCCAAGTACACTTAAGAAATTGTTCATTAATGCAAGTCAAGTATTCCTTTTGACAGGTGCATAGGCAGTTGTCACAAGCATTAAGCAAATCTTACAGACACTCCATAAGCAGACCACATTTGAACAGTTATCCAGTGACAATCCATTTCTGCAGACTTATTATTCTTCCACATTCTCAGCAGTAATTCTCTCTCTCATATTCTTAATGAATTCTCTATTATTTCATCAGAAGCAATCAGACTGATGATGTTTTTAGGTTTATATTCATTTCTCTCTGGATGGATGGATGGATGGATAGATAGATAATAGATTTTCCCTTAAACCATGTATTCAAAATGAAGAACACATTTTTCTAAGCAGATTTTTCACTAAACAAATACAATTCTCATTCATTTTCTTTATTCATACTAAATCTTTTAATCTCTTCTGCTTCAAACAGCAAAGCGTTTCCATGTTTAAACAAACTGTACTGAAGAATCTTAATTGTACAAATGATTGCTAACTATATAACCACTATAGTTCTCACATAACCATCATTTATCGAGTTAGAAGTTATGATTGTGCTGAATGATAGTTATGACAGGTCCTCAAAGTTACAGCCATTGCAGTACCCCTGTTCTGTTCCAGACAGAACACATTGCTTTGAGTTCAATCTAAAACAGACAGTTAACTTGATAGAAATGATTTTATAACAAATATTTATTGTCCAGGAATTCTAAGCAGAGACTTACTATGCTGTAGATGCTTCTGGTTTTTCATATCTGTTCATTCCTATAGGTAAATTGATATTGAATTTTCCCCTCTTCTTCTGATGATCATCACATGTTGGCAAAGGATCTCCAAGCCGTATGGCTAGGAGACATGAGGCTGGATGAACAAAGGATTCCCATCTGGCTTGTGTCCAGGAAGTCTCCCAATGACCAATGACCTTTTGAGACTCCTCCCACTGGCCCATCAACATACCTAGCATTTAACCCAATAACTGCCAGATATTCTAACATACTGATACACACCTAGAAATGGGAGGAAGATGGTCAAGGTTAACTGGGGTGAAAATTACAGTAGATGGTGCTGGATGAGTTCAGTGCAACAAAAAGTCAGAGATGGGGAAGGACAGGGGAACTGAAGTGGAGATGAGTGTGCTCAAGAGAAGCACGAGGTCCTTGCCTAACAACCGCAGCTGGGATTACCAGAACTTCTCTTAGTAATGAAAATTCATGTCCCGAATGAGGTTGTTAAGTGAAGTCTACCTGTAATAGATAATTTTTTGTCTTTTTACGAAAGTAGTAGGAAGTGTGCTTCTAAACCACCCAGTGAAAAAAGATAATTGGTTGTAAATATTAGAGAAATCAATAGAAACAGTGCTGATCAAATTAACATTAATCTCTCTCTTTCTTTCTCTCATGGAAAGGAGTCCTAGAATGGCCATTCTGGACGAAATTGGTTGTGGTAGCCATTGGATTCACTGGAGGCCTTGTCTTCATGTATGTGCAATGTAAAGTCTACATTCAGTTATGGCGAAGGCTGAAGGCTTATAACCGAGTAATATTTGTTCAGAACTGTCCAGATACTGCCAAAAAACTAGAAGAAAAAAATTCTTCCACCATTCAGAACACTGAAATTAAGGATACTGTTGTCGTTCCAGTATCACAGATAGATACAAACTTTCAGCAAACGGAAGAAACTATTTCTGATGTCATGCCAGTTTGATGAAAGTAGCATTTCTGGGGGGAACAAAGTGAAATGTTTCTATTAGCTACAAGAAAAAAAATTCAAATCCATGGAGTATGTTTGAAAAAAGAACAAACATAAAAAAATAAAATAGCAAGGAAAATTGATAATAAGCTGCACATTACCTCTGAAATGTAAATGAGAATTTTTTTTTTCACTTTTCTTGCTAAGTACAGTTAAAAGTAGAAGTGAAGAAGATAGAGAAACAAAAACTTCTAATGGGCAAATGGACATGCCAACACTACTATTGATGGCTTAAAAGAACTGCATTTGCAGAAATTCTACTGGTGTTCTGTTTACAAGAAAAAAAAACTTTTATGTGTATTTGCTACTATGGTCTTTTTGCTAATTATTGTAGACTTGGTTGGGGGGAGATCAAAGCAAATTTTTAAGGTTCTTATAAAGGTATGCATCAAAGCACAAATTATCTGTTTGATAATGTGATATTTAATGCTATGGTGATTACCCTACAACATTTCTGTAAAAACAACCATGCTGTTATTAAGTAATAATGAATTTTGAGTATTTGTAAACTAGAATATTAGAAATATTTTTCTTGGTCAACAATAGACACAGAAATAATTAACGGCAAATTCCTGTTCAATTCAAATTGCTACATTCATCTGGAGCAGCAACTTAGTTTGTAATTATTCTTATATAATCGCATATTAAAACAGAGAGAATTTTCCGGCTGCCTATAAAATTATTCTTCTAAAGGGTAATTCATTAAATCGGAGTATTAAGACACCAGAGTACTTTTGTTAACAAAAGGCTTTACAATTTTCAGTATCTATTTATTAGGATGAAAAATATGCAAAAATAAAAATAAAAATCAGAAGTTACAGTCCAATGATTTGTTTTAAAGATAGCCTTGAAAAAGTCAGTGTGGACAGCACTCAAATTATGACAATATTCAGTGTGAACTTAATTGACAACGTATATGCAGTAACTTCTATACAAGAAAGAATTTTAACAGTTAAGTATTCAATAGTTCATTTGATACTATTATTAATATATTAATATAAAATGAGGGTAAGATGTTTAAATTCATATCAATATAAAAATGCAGCCTGCAGGGATCCAAAGAATAATTTGGCATCCCATTTCAGAAGTATTTACCCAGGAGGTTTAAAGAAAGTAAGATATTTACCAAAAAATAAGTATCTTATTTCTATCACTGTTATGCTTGTTGATTGTATTGTGAGTTGTGCCCAAGTAATGTGAGTTAATAAAAGAAAATAGTAATAAGGGGAACTGATGATGAAAAGTTGCAATTGGTGATTTCTAAAAGAATTATAATTCATGCTGCAGATTAAAAAAAAGTAAACTCTTTTTCCTAAGATGATTATACTTGTTTGTTCCATTGAGAAATTGCAAAAGCAATTAATTTCATTAAGATAAATGGGTATTTTCTCACTGATGTCAGTAAGTCAGAACTTGTTACCATGATCAGAAATCTAGCTTGGTTGAAAAGATATTAACCATAAAGTTAATATTGTACAATACGATAGATATGACAAGAATTATAATGCTGGGAATCTTTTGGAAATGAAAACTGGGTAACTGAACCGTAAACTAAACAGTTCAGATAAAAGAAAAAAATGTGATTATAGTATTTTGTGGTGTTTAGATGATCCCATAATTTAACACAGATAATGGGAGAGATGGAAAAGAAGTCAGGCCACAAGCTGAAATCAAATTCAAACTGAGTGGTCTGCCTTTTCTTTTCTAAGTGACATGTAGAAGATCAAGATATAGTTTGGGTTATATTTATAATTTGGAGTGGTAATTTATGTTTTTTCTCCAACTATAAATATTTATGATGTTACTATGCTTTTCATAGAAGATCACGATGGCATTAAGAGCTGAAAACTGAACTTATATGCAACAAAATGCACTTTCAGAATAATACTGCAATGTGAATTTCTTACCATTCTGCTAATGTTTCTGTCAGTTCAGGCAGTTAGTTGCCCAACTATATATTTTGCAGAGCCTATACAATGGAGCCCATATAGGACAACATTGTGTAAAAGGATTATCATGCATGTGGTAAAAGGTAAATGACTGGTATTCATATATTTCAGAGCCAGTAAAATACTAGATTCATAGAAATGTTGGCATGTTTATATAGCATGATGTATTGGGAGAAAAGGTCTACGTGATTCCCATACCAAAATTTAGAAAAAAAACTTATAATTATGCCAGCAACAGTTTTAACCAAGATTTGTTTTGGTTTAATTCCATAGAACTTAGGGAATTATGTTATTTTTAAAATCTGATTCACTTAGAAACAAGTATGAAGAAACAGCTTTCAGCTGTATTTAAAAAATTAAATGTGTCCCACAGTTTGCAATATGCAATCTTTTATGCTGTCTTTTTTGAGTACCAGTTAAAGAAAAAGTATGTTACAGATAGCAGAAAAAATGTGGAATATATCGTCCTTTTAAGGAAAAAAAGCAAATTTTTAAATTCCATCATTTTTTCTTTGGTCGGTTGGTTGTTTTACTCTTAGGCAGCATTCTGTTCAAATTTTCCTGCTATCTGTATATCTAAAATCCTAATAGTATAATTGCTACAGGTGGAAAACAATCAGTAGCAAAAGTCAGTATTGCATTGTTGCACAGATTCCCATTTATCTGAAAATTATCTCTCAATTTCTGAAAATTGCACTGCAATCTATGATGCAAATATTTTATTATATATAATCACTGGACTTGCAAGTTTGTTACTTGTTTTACCCAGTTCTCTTTGGCAAGAGCTTTTGTGGGTGATTTGTGTATTAAAGAGGTTCTTGGGGTGAAGAAAAAAACTAATTGTTGTGGAACAAATTTGTATTTGTAATAAACAGATGACTCAAATGGGTATGAATTATTTCTTTTAATAGAAACTAGTCATATTTCTATTATGTATTTTATAATTCTAGTCTGAAGAACTTCAGAACTCCAGTCTGAAGTTTCAAACTGGAGGATGTCATTGCCTTATCCCATGCCCTGAGAATTTGCACCAAATTTTACATGTGTGTTTTAAACGAAAGCTCAGTCTCAGTGCTTCAGATGACATTAGATTGAGCAAGGAACGGCCTGGTTAAAACCAAATGAAGTCCAGTCCTTTTTCTGAGCAACAGTTTTAATTTTAGAGGCTAGAAAAGAAAATCAGAATTGCATTCTCTTTCCCCCATTCTTCAGGAATGTAGTTTAAATGTCAGTTCAGTAGCCTGAATTTGTACTTCAAGATCTGATTTATAAATCAGTGTTAAGGAACTTTGTTTTAAAAAGAGATCAATACTGAAGTAGAAAGCCCACTAATAGGTTCTCTGAAGCCAAACTTGTGGAATCAAGTTTTTTGCTTGTCCAAAAATTAGTAATAATTATGAAAATATTACAAGTTACCACATAGAACAGTGGTTCTCAACCTGTGGGTCGGGACCCCATTTGGGGTCAAACGACCATTTCACGGGGGTCGCCAAACAACGCAGTCCGCCATTTTCCTTAGCTTTTCCTTAAAATTAGATTTGAATAGAGTCTAATTCTATTGGCTTTCAAAAGCCAATAGGAATTGTCCAGGCTGTCTCTGCCCTGCTGAGCCCACCAAAAGTCCCATTCTGCAAACGGTGCTGCACCAGTTGAGTAGTCCTTGACTTACGACTGATTGGGGGGTCGCGGCATTAAAAAGGTTGAGAACCACTGACATAGAACATTGTTCAACTAAAGAACCCAAGGGTCAAATCCAAAATGATAACTTAAACATACTGGCTAGTATGCTTTGTTCAGTACTGTTTTATAGCCCATATTTTACTCTTTCCAATCTTATTTTACAATCTGTATTTTATTCTTTCCAATTCAACAGAATATTGTAAATAAATTAGATACTGGGACACACAATTGTGTATCTATGTATGCTTATCAGGATAGCTTTTTATAAAAAGAAAAGAGCTAAATGTGGTGTGTTAAGAGAATAGGAAACCTCCCTTTATGCATTTTTATTGTTTGGAAGAATTTAAGGCAAAAAGGTATCTTAAGCTTTATATAGAATTCTTAATAGTACCTGCCATCAAATCAGACTACATTTCTTAATCCCCATTCTGAAGTGATGTTATGAGCTATGGTCCCAACCTGCAGCTTCAGGAAAGACCAATGCCAGAATACACTATTAAAAAAGGTATATGGAAAGATGCATTTAAGTTCACTCCTAAAGATACTTTGCTCCAACAATTGTAATGAAAATCAGATCAGTACTTTCTCTTGAAGAACAACAACTGGGGAAAGATAGTAGGTGAGATGGAAGATATTTGACTTTTTCTTTCTGAGAATCTGTTGGCTGTTTTGTTGCATTAGAATAATTAATTTTGACTAATCAGAATTTGGCTCTATCAGTGTAATATCAAGCATTTTTATGAACCTTACACACATTGCACTATTTTGTTTTTCCAAAAGACATTGCTGTATTATAAAGTACAGTATATAAACTGTCAGAATTGCAGGTACTCATGGTTGACTGAAAGTTTCTTGTTTCTTTCTGCCATAGACAGTTAAAACACTGGTTTGCCAATCTGTTTTCAGATATCCAGCGAATTCTCTTTAGTCCACATCCTGTGCTGCAGACAATTCATTTCCAGCTTCAACGTTTGCTTTCTCCATTCTACTACTGCAAACATCTTTACTGGATAACTTTCTCATTTTAATATTTGGTAGCTTCTTCAGGTCACCATCCCAGTCTCTGGTAGAAATGGAAGAAAAATGACAAGTATTACATGATGGAAACTATAATATTTATGTTGACGATCAATCATTTCTCCTATTTTAAAATAAAGATTGGAAAGAACACTGGAATAAACCCATCTAATTAGAAGAGATGTTTTCAAAAGACTTTACTGAAATTCCTATGATGCAGGAAACACAGGAAAACTACCATGTATACTCTAAAATGGGTGTACAATATTTAAATATGACACCCATACCAAATTAAAGAAAAATCAAAATATTCTGGGTCCAATTTATATGTAAAATGGATCAACCTACTTTATAAACTGATCCTAACTATTGTAGCCTGGGGAAAGTATCTCAAAAGAAAATAGACAGAAATTATCCTGGAGTAATGTATCCCTGCCCGTCCCATTTGGAGGTAGTTAGAAAATAACTCACCTGAAATATCGAAGATGTTTACAGTTTACAATGTCAGGGATTTCTGTGGAAAGAAATTGAATCTATATCAAGCAATAGATTAAAAGTAAGGAAATTAAAAAATTAGTGATCTTCAACTGTCTTGTTATTTTGTTAACGACCAACTCATCTGTTTATTTTGCTCATTTTGGCAATTAAAACTGATTCATCAAAATATCTTATTTCAAATTTATAGGATATCCCAACAATACATTCAAAAGGATGGATATTAGATTTACTTTGTTAGCAATGTAAAAAAAAATATGATAATCATTTACTCATATGATTTGGTCTTCTGAATCTTTGAAATATTTTTGGAATAATATTTTAGAATGGAATGGAATGGAATAGAAATAATAGAAATAGAAATAAAAATAGAACAGAACAGAACAGAAGCTGGAAGGACCTTGGAGGTCTTCTAGTCCAGCCCCCTGCTCAAGCAGGAGAACCTATACCATCTCAGACAAGTGACTGTCTTCTTAAAAATCTCTAGTGATGGAGCGTCCATGATTTCTGGAGGCAAGCTGCTCCACTGGTTAATTGTCCTCACTGTTAGGAAGTTTTTCCTTAATTCCTGGTTGCTTCTCTCTTTGATCAGTTTCCAACCATTGTTTCTTGTCCTTCCTTCTGGTGCTTTGGAGAATAATTTGACCCCCCCTTCTTTGTGGCAGCCCCTCAAATACTGGAATACTGCTATCATGTCATCCATATTTCTTTTTAGACTAGACAAACCCAAGTCCTGCAGCCGTTCTTCATGTTTTAGTCTCCAGGCCTTTGATCATTTTAATTGCTCTTCTCTGAACTTTTTCCAAGGTCTCAATATCTTTTTTGTAATATGGTGACCAAAATTGGTTGCAGTATATTTTAATGTACTGGGAATACAATACATTAGGGGATATGTTTGTGCTAAAGATATTAGTATGTTAAATTATATCCCAAAAGTTTGGCATTTGACCGATGAGTTATGGTTGTATTAGGCCATCAATGCTAATTATTCTGAGGATTTGAAATAGTGCTACAGGTAGTCTCAATTTATAACCATTCATTTAGTGACTGTTCGAAGTTACAATGGCCCTAAAAAAAGTAAATTATGATCAGTCCTTGTACTTACAACTATGACAATATCCCATAGTCAAAATTTGGGTAATTAGCAACTGGCATGTATTTCCGACAATTGCAGAACCTTGGAGGGCCTATGATTGCCATTTGCTAGCTTCCAACAAGCAAAGTCAATGGAGGAAGTCAGATTTGATTTAACAACTGCAGCAATTCGCTTAACAACAGTGGGCAAAAAAGGTCATAAACTTAAGCATGACTCACTTAACAGTCAACTCTCTTAGCAATGGAAATTCTGGTCCCAGTTGTGGTTATAAGTCGAAGACTACCTGTGTTCTTGATATTAAACTGGATTCACGAGAAGTGGAACTTACTGTTTTTGAAAAAGCAATCTTATTAGTCAAAAAATGACTCAATATATTTTTCTGTGGCATATTTTATAATGTTAGCAACTCATTTAAAAACCTATTTGACAGATAGATAGATAGATAGATAGATAGATAGATAGATAGATAGATAGATAGATAGATAGATAGATAGATAGACAGACCGACCGACAGACAGACACAGACAGACAGACAGACAGACAGACAGTTGATAGGTAGATAGTTAGGCAGATAGACAGACAGACAGACAGATAGATAGACCTTTATTGTCATTTTTTACTGTGGGCATAACGGCACACATTAAAAATGAAATTTAGTTGCTTGCTCTCAAAGTGTACACATATATAACACACATTTAAACATACTAGTATATAGTATGTATAGACCTACACCTTTACATATAAGTAACATATAAATATTAATCACTGTCCATCTTGAATACAAACGGAAGGAGGACGTTTTAGAGTTCACAAGGTTAATACTGTATGGAATTTGACATTTGATTAACATTTTACAAATATAAAGTTTCCATCTTTCTGTTAGTTTGCTTGCTTATTTGGTTTCATTTTGGTAGTTTTTTCATATATTTCTTTCCTTTTTTGTGCATTTGTTCTATTTTTTTCTGTAAAATTTGTTAAAATAAAATATTTAAATTTTTAAAAATGCAACAGGCACATTAATATACTGCTAGAAAACCTGGTGACAAGACAACAAAGAAAAGATCTCTCCAAATTTTAACAATAATAGCAGCAACATTTTGCTATCCTAATTTGTTAAAATGAAGAAAGCTTAATGTCAAGACTGCCAACATCGGATGTTCTTGCTTGCCATATATGAAGAAGCAAACCTGTTTTATTTAGCCGTATAGTATTTCTAGGGTTAATACAGATAGCAGTAGTTTAAGGGGTGAGAAAGTATGTAGTTAACCATAACAATGTCTGAGCACAGTGTGGCCAAGGTCAGCTCAGCTGCAAGGGAGGGACACCTCACGCTTCACATTAATTGGAGAATGTGATTGATGACTGTAAAATGAAGGAGTGAGTTATGCTTGGTTATAGACGCTTGGGGGAGGGAGGATTCAGTTTCTGGCTTAACTTTGTTAGTGCCGAAGCTATGCAGAATAATAAAAGTTTCTTTTAGAGGAAAAAGTCTCTAAATTCTTTGAAAATCTGCTTTCTTTCGGAACCATGTCACTTAAGATAAGCTTTTTCCCAAGTGTTGTTCTCCTCCATTATTAAAAATAAATTTCTGGTTTCGGAAGTGTTAATTCCAGGCATCACACCATATTCCATTTGATAGAACCTGTGGTTGGATTACAAAACTAAATTACATCCCATAAATCCAAGTTTGCACATATCTGCCTTATCTAGCTTCAACTTTTTAGTAAAAGACACGGGTTTGGACTAAAATTTTAATCCTGGCAAATTCAGTTGCACTCAAAAATTTGTCCATGGTTCTATAAATTACAGCTTTTGAGCTCTAATATCAAACTCTAATATTTCAAAATCAAGATTACAAAAAAACCATAACTGAAGTTTTTAAAACATAGTTACTGCCTCATATATATATATTTTAAAAGAGAGGCATTGGCATATAGGTCTAGACCAGAGGTGGGGAACCTTGGCCCTTTTACAACTTGTGGACTTCAACTCCCAGAAGTCCCCAGCCAGTAAGACATGGGGTAGGAGGGATGCCTCTGGTCCTGCATGGAGCATGACCACTGGAAGTGACTGTCTAAGGCAGGGGTGGGGAACCTGGGCCCTTTTACGACTTGTGGACTTCAACTCCCAGAATTCCTGAACCAGCCAGTTGAAGTCCACAAGTCATAAAAGGGCCCAGGTTCCCCACCCCTGGTCTAGACAGAGAATTAGATAAATCAGAAACACTGAGAATTTGCATATAAATCTGATTGACTTCAATTTTAAGAAGCTCAAGTTGACAGAAAGAAATGTTATCACACCAAGTGAATATGCACCTCTTGTTCTCTGGATGTCTCTATTTGTGTTTATTAGATTATGTATATGTATTATATTAAGTACTTTATCAGGAGAAAACTGTATTTGCCACAAAGGAAAAAAAAATACATGCTGCCATATTGAAGATATTATTTTAAGCAATTAAGCAACTTTAATCAATTAGTCTAATTTACCACTTAAATGTTTCACATCAAATTTGGAAAAGCACCTAATTTTTCCAGATGAAATTATAATTAACTGATAAGAGAAACTAATGAATGGTGAATACTGGGAAAGAAAGGGAAGTCATACCATTGAATAGTCATTTCTTCTCAATAAAAGACAATAAAAATATTACCATCTCTAATAACACTGTCTAGCAGTATAAACCATTTTTCTCAAATTATAACCAAATTAACAAAGAGAAAGAGAGATTGAATTTTTCAAACAAACTCATATAAACTTGTATCAATTTATCAGAAACAAGATAATACTGGCCATCTATTTTTTTAAAGAATATTCTGCATGCATCAAATTAACTACCACAATTTAAAAGGGCTTACACAGATTACCCACCGTGCAGCTTTCTTCAGTAAAATAAATGATTTGAGAAGCTGATATCTGAAGGTCAAGCTCATGTAAAGTCCAACAGCAGACAGAGAATAAAGTATGAGTAATATATGAGAAAACAATTAACATTTATTTACATGTGTTACTGTTCTTTTATGCAGAGTTCTTACATTCTGGGCACATTTTAATAACAGATTACTTTTTAGCACAGCATACCGATGCCATAGCCTTCATATTGCTGTCGTTCACGTTCCATAGTCTGCTTGATTACGGTTTCCCTGGAACTATGCTGTCTGGACTGTCGTCCTTTAATGCTGTTGTGCAGTTCAATCTGTTCCAACTCATCACGGAATCTCTGCAAATAACTAAAACACAATAAATGGTCATTTTAGGAACATTAATTTTTTAAAAAAGTAATACTTCTCAATTATTTAGAAACAGTAAATCGTCTTGAATATTAAATAAAGAATATATACAAAAATACTGATATTTAAAATTATGAAGGGAATATAAGAAGCAAGGTACTTCTCTGTCTTAATCTCATTAACCATCCAGATTTTAAACAAAAGAATTAATAGCATAGCTTTCTTTAGCAGGAAAAGATTTTTTAAAAGCAATATATATATATATATACTCTCAAACTACTCTGTATATGTTGCAAACTAAGGTTGCTTTTTAATTTCAGCTCATATTTAAAATAAATAACAGTTCGTTTACAAAATCCAGAAACAGGATATTTGAAGCTAAAGATATCTTCAAAAGTTGTCTACAAATAGTATACAACAAGTATGTATTATTCCAGAAAACAATTATATTAGAACAGTTAATTTAACTGTTTCTAATTACTTATGATAATTAACGTATATGAAATGTTAAAATTACACTGTGTGAATAAATAATAAAGATGGCATATACCAACTGATGTTCTAGTACATCACACAAAACAGGGTATTGTTTTGAATTTGAAAAACATACCAAGCGGATAAAATTATGAACATCAACTCAACAACCTTGTTCCAAACATTTTGTTCACTTGCTATAAACCTACTTTTCTACTAATTCAGAAGCTTCTTTTTTTGTGTATTCCATTTTGTCCGGATCAAGGTGGTGTTGAAACCAAAGCAATTTTTCACCTGCAAAAAAAAAAAAAAAGTTCACGGTACATTCCGATATTCAATATTTCTGTTAAATATAACAGGAATGTTAATTATTCCAATTCATTAACATATCCAATGTATTAAAAACATATATTTTAGCTACTGATCACAAATATTCTTTTTAAAAAGAACTACTTTAATCATGAAAAATAACACATATATTTATGAAAAAAGCATATCACATAATTTTTGAACTACATTTGTTTAATGTAGGCACAAAATCACATGCGAGATTATACAAGTGTATACTTCTACATGTACATGAACATATCAAAACAGTAAGATATTTGTAAAATCTATAAAAATGTAAACAAAACTAAAAATGTATTATTCAGTTTATAATTTCCTGCCCATCTTTGAAGTTGTTTTCATGTTTGTATGCTTCTACTACAAATGTTAATAAAAATATAAAACAATACTAAATTATTAATCCCATAAAAGAACTAAAGTCTACTACCATTGGAAATTTTTCATATGCTCATTGTTACTGTCTAAAAACTAAGCATCTGCTTCAATTAGGTCTTTGGTATTATTGCCAAAAAGAAGGTTTTATATTATGCATTCATTTTTCCAGGATATTTTACTAAGAAAGGACTAATGAATCTAGATCTAACTTCCTACAGTAATAACAAGGAAAGACAACGCGAACCATATTTTCCATGCAATTTAAACATTAATTTATAGAATTATAGAATGACAGAAAGGAACTGGATTTCATTCTAGAAAAAAAGGCAATAGTGCTCAGTCAGGTAATTCAAATGCTTAGCATATACTTTTTTAGGATTAAAGACAACGCAAGAGAAATAGACAAGTAGTGCATGCAAATACTATAGCACAGTTATATGTACAAGTTTTGCAATCCGCTAGTCCAATGATGTTTTCCAATGAATTTCTAGGTAAACGAAAACTGAAAAACTTCTACACGGTACAAAACTAAACACATCTTTTTGCAAATCTGTACATGTACTGGATTTAAAATTTAGATGGCATTTGTTTACAATTTCAAAATAAGAGTAAATACAGAAGATACAAATGTGTTGACAAGATTTCAGTCAGGGTTTTGCCCAAAAAACAGCTATGCCAGAACCAGTAAAGCATATTCCTCTTATTGCTTTTGGAGTTTTTTTCCCTCATTCTTCTTCACAGAAACCTTCTAGTTCACAAATTTTAGGGGGCTCCTTGAATGCATTGATATCAAGTTTTAATGTCAGGCGTGGGATTATGATGGTCATTATAAAGCCCTCACCTTTCTTGTCTGTAATTATTTTATGATTGATTTGAAGGCTTGTTTTATTTCAGTGCCACAGCTTCAATTTCTTCACTGACAGTGGAGAATTAACTGAAAGACCACAAAAAATGTTGCTACAACATTTAGAACTCTGTTTTGCAAATCTGCCCAGCATTTAGGCAGTTGTAGCAACATTTTTTGTGGTCTTTTAGTTAATTCTCCACTGTCAGTGAAGAAATTGAAGCTGAGGCACTGAAATAAGCATTTCAACTGTGCTGAAATGTTTAGGTCAGAGGTCCCCAACCTTTTAGGCAGCAGGGACCAGTTCTGCATCCCACGGATGGGATTTTGCTTGTTTGTGCGGATCGGTTGTGGGCATGCCACAGCCCAGTACTGGTCCACGGACCGGGGGTTGGGGACCCCTGGTTTAGGTGATACTACAGTCAACATGTCCATATCTTTAACAATGCTTTTTTTGTAAATAAAATGTGGAAAAGTTATCCAGATTACTCTTTTGGTTTATTGTTTGTCTATCTCCTTTAAATTATAAAGTCATCAGCCAGTTTCATTTATATATCCAGTGCAGCATTTTTTCCACATCATTCTTTTAGACTGTCATTTTTAAATTCACTTTCAAATCAATCTCAGTCTTGTCTAATAAAACCTCAACCAATTTTGGTCACCATACTACAAAAAAGATGTTGAGACCTTGGAAAAAGTTCAGAGAAGAGTAACTAAAATGATCAAATGCCTAGAGACTAAAACATACGAAGAACGGCTGCAGGACTTGGGTTTGGCTAGTCTAAAGAAAAGAAGAAATAGGAGTGACATGATAGCAGTATTCCAGTATTTGAGGGGCTGTTACAAAGAAGAGGGGGCCAAACTATTCTCCAAAGCACCAGAGGGCAGGACAAGAAACAACGGTTGGAAACTGATCAAAGAGAGAAGCAACCTTTCTCTAGGAGAAATGTCCTAACAGTGAGGACCATTAAGCAGTGGAACAGCTTGCCTTCAGAAATCGTGGGCGCTCCATCACTGGAGATTTTTAAGAAGAGACTGGACAGTCACTGTCTGAAATGATATAGGTTCTCCTGCTTGAGCAGGGGGCTAGACTAGAAGATCTCCAAGGTCCCTTCCAGCTCTATTCTATTCTATCTGAATTTCTTCCTCTTCCATAATATCTTTTAAACCCAGTCTATAATGGTACACTTATGAAACTATTGTTTCAAAATACCCTTCAATATATCCAACGTTAAAGTACTTTTTTATATTCTTTATTAGTAAATCAAATGTGTTCTTTTCATTTAATTGTAATCTTCTTTCTGGCTCCCTCTAGTGTCCAGCTATCAAAGTCCCATCCTATCGTGTTTCTTTTTTTAAGCATTCAAAGCAACAGCATTTCCCCAAGGGACGAATTCTTATTTTCAGAATCTTATTTCAAATTCATCCAGACCTTCAATCTATTTGTAACTTTCCAAATTAGATGTTTTAATCACCTTTTTCTGTATATGCCTTAAATTTATATTTAAAACTTCCTTCGCTAAAGATGTGTCATTGCATAGGTTCCTAATAGCTAGAAAGCAATTAAAAAGCAAGTTCCAGAAGTGATTAAGAAACATGGTTTGGGGAACCTTGTGTGCACATAGAATATATTACAGCTAAGAGCTTGGTTAGAATCCATCAACTCTCTGCTCCTCGCTTCATCAGCCAACCACAAAAATTCTGTTCCTGCAATTTACTCACAAGACATACCTGTGACGAGTACAAGTGGATAATGTTACGATCTCTCCTTTTTTCAGAAATATTCTGTCAGCCAGCACTCACCATCTGGCTGATGATCTGGCCGTAATGTCAAGTCTATTCCTTTGGAGATGTTTAGTACACAATGAACCTTCACCAAAAGTTCTCCTTTCTGATTTTTTTTTTTTTTAAAAAAAAGCCAGCTAGTGTACTATCCATTGCCAGAACAGCTAGTGTACTTTCCATTGAAGAAAAAAATTATCTGGTTATTTATAAAAAGAATTAAAGATATAAATGTAATAAATGATTTTATTTACTAATATAGAATATTTACGTTTGTTAAAAATGCTTTTGTTTCTCACATACAATTTCAAAGATATATGCTTTACATTTGAAGATAAAAAGCTAATAACTTTAACTATTAAAAAGTAATTAACATTCTTTTAAAGTTTATGAATTATGCAAAATTCCAAATATTATTGAAAATACTAATAAAAAAATCAGAACTGTACAAAATAAACAGTATTCCAAAATTCCAAGTAATAGTAACATAGGATACCTAATGTTAAACCGAGTTCATAATTGATATAAAGCTAAAAAAAATATTAGCACTGGATAAAACTTCTTCCAAGGAAATACTTGAAGATATGCTACAAAGATAAATTTAACAAAATCTGAAAATATAAATTACACTTACCCACAATGCTGATACGAAAGGCCTTTTCATTTTTCAATCTGCAAAAGTAAAAAAAATATTTGCAATGTATTTATTTAATAACTTTGTTTTGTTGCAATCTCATGACATATTTAGTAATTACAATAGCACAGTGGTTCTCAACGTTTTTAATGCTGCGACCCCCAACCGGTCGTAAGTCGAGTACTACTCAACCGGTTGTAAGTCGAGGACTACTCAACTGGTGCAGCACCGTTTGCAGAATGGAACTTTTGGTGGGCTCAGCAGGGCAGAGACAGCCTGGACAATTCCTATTGGCTTTTGAAAGAAAATAGAATTAGACTCTATTCAAGAGAGTCTATTGGCTTTCAAAAGCCAATAGAATAAAAGGGAGTAGCACAGCTAAGGAAAAGGGGAAAAAAATGGCGACTGCGTTGTTTGGCGACCCCCGTGAAATGGTCGTTTGACCCCAAATGGGGTCCCGACCCACAGGTTGAGAACCACTGCAATAGCACAATCTAACTTCTAAAATATGCACAGCCAATTGAACAAAGTAAATAAATTGAAGAAACAATACAAGAATTAATTTTAAAAAAATATTTCATTTATATGTAAACACAGAAGCATATGAAGCATTTTGTTCTGAAAGAGGAGAAATTTACTTTATTTACCAAGTGAATTCTTATCCCTAAATGGTAAGGACCGTGATTAAGTACATAAAGTTGTTTACAATATATATTTTAATATCTGCCTTAACATAAACAATTCCCTATGGCACACAAAAACTCTGAGATTACAGAAATTAATATCAAAACATCAGAAAAGCACCCCAAACAACCATCTAACTCATATTTTACCATGTTATAAAGTGATTAAGATGAGAGACTTGTTGACAATATTGTTGAATTATAGGTTCAGTGGTGCTTACAAGTTTCTGAACTCTTTAAATCAGGGGTCTCGAACCTGTGGGCCACAGCTCACTACTGGGCTGTAGCTTATTCATAATGGGGCCACATGAGTGGCTTGCTAGTGCACGTGCATTTGTGCACACGTGCACAGTCCCACTCACGCAAGCATCGCAGGCGTTTTAGGCTTCACTCAAATGAGAGTTGCGGTCACTCAGGGCCTCACTCACGCGAACACCATGGGTGCTCTTGGCCCCATTCGCACAAGGGGTGCTCGTGCACACACAAGCCTGTGTGTGCACCTCCCCCACCACAAAACCATCCGCTCTTTTCCCCTTCCCCTCCTCCGGGCTACCAACCCGGAAAGGTTGGGATCCCTGCTTTAAATACTTATATTCCTGTATAAATATAACTTAAGCATGATCTGTTTTCCATACAAGTCCTAAAACTAGATAAAGCGAACACAAATAAATAAGGTAAATACTATATTTGTACATTTATTTATTGAGGAAAATGTGCATAATACACGGGCATATTTCTGTAATAGTACTCCCAACAATATTTAATAAACAAATGGCTGCACTGATTGTGACTCAAAATTTAAGAGTTATACAGAATCAGAAAATTAGTAGATTAATGATCAGAAGAAAACATTTTAAAAATACTGAACAGACTGTTTTATTAAGAAAATAAAACCCATTTCTGTCTGCTGTGTGAAGACACAGTGACTTGCTAAAACCTCTTCTCATTAGAAATTCTCAGGAGAAGGGAAAAAACTCCTGCACGTCTACAAAGTCTCTTAGTGAGATGAAACAGCAATACGAACAAAGTAAGTTCTCATTATAACATTGAACTTTCTTATGTTAAATGAACAGAAAGTACAAAGCAAATGCTCTGGAGGAAAGGAGAAAATCTGAAGCCCACTCTGCATTAATGTAAGATTAAGTTCTACATATCTGCCTTTAAATATATTGCACCAAAGTCTGTATGACAAATATAACCTATAGGATACAAATATCTCATATTATCATAAACCAGAACTTTAATACATTTTTACATACAATAGTGGCAATAGTTCTATCACATTTATTTCCAAAGCACCAGGCCAAAATTGTTTAAAATCAAATAATTACTGGTAAAAGATCATCTAAAGTAGATTTTAAAGTGAAGTCATTATAATATTGTATTGTATTATACTGTTAATAGTGAAGATTATTTGCACAGAAATTGCATCAAGATTATAAGGAATTCTATTTCAGTTGTAAAATCTGGAGCTGTGGGTTACCCACATATATTAACTTCTCTTTGTCACTAATCTTGACCAGGAATATTGGAGAAAGGCATTTCTATCGGTGACTCTGCCACAGACTACAGTTTTAAAATTTTAGTAGCAATAGAAAATCCATTATCTACTTTCTACCAGCTAACTGATCAGAGCAGGATCAGTTTTGAGTGTGTCACATGATCAAAATGAAAGAATTTTAGAAATATATTATACTTTTAGTAAGATCAATCATGGTTAATATCACTGCAAATGATGAAAAATCTTAGGTACTGGACAGTAATGGATTACTATAATTTGTGCTTATATGTTTATCTCATTTTTAATGCATCCTGAAAGAAGTTGTAAGATTAGTAAGGTAAATGTAAAGGTTTCCCCTGTCAGTTGGATCTGACTCTAGGAGGTAGAGCTTATCTCCATTTTTTAACCAAGGGAGCCAATGTTGTCTGAAGATACTTCAATAGTCAGCATGACTGTATGCCGAGGCATATGAAAAGCTCTTACCTTCCCACCGAAGTGGTATCTATTTATCTACTTGCATTTGAATGCTTTCAAACTGGTGGGCAGGAGCTGAGGCAAGCACACCCCATTGTGCAGCGCTCGGGTCTTGAACCCTGGCTGTCAGCTTTCAAGCCGGTAAGCTCAGCATCTTTAACTACTGAGCCATCAATATTACTAAAGCAAGAATATTATTCCCAGATACCACGCAACATCAGAAGTATGTAAAAACTTACTTCTCCTTTTTAACTTGTCTATGTGCTTCTTTAGTAAGCTGAGCAGCTTTTCTGCTGTAAGGATGGATGGCTTTCTTCTCATGCTCCCCTCCTTTTGCTCTGGGAGTTTTTGGCTGAAACAATGAGACAAAATAATAACAGCATTTAATAGAACTACTTCAACTACCCTCATCTGAAACATAACAAAAATAATCAGTTATTTAAGTTTCAAACATCAGTCAACATCTACCATATTCATAACTATAGAAGATCGTTATAAGGATCTTATTTGTATATTTCTGTACTTCCTTTCCAAATAAAAAGAGGTCTTCTAAAAAAATTATGGAAATCAGTACTGTTCCTAAATTATTCTCAGACTCTATACCGATAATCAACCGATTTGCTATTCCTTCATTATAAGCTCATGAAAATACCATCAGTTTTTTACAGCTTTTGTATGTCTTTCTCAGCAATCTGGAGGTGGCATATAGGAAGCATTTTAGCTTTAGTCACCAACTACAAAAAGAATGAAAGATGAATGCATTCTAATCATAGAACTCAAAAAGAATACTGAAGAAGTAATAAAAATACACATAAGGAGAAATAATCAAAGTTATATTTTTAATATATAATTTAGACTGATAAAATTACTATGTAGAAAAATCTGTGATATTTTCTCTTTGTTTAATATTACAGTAGTGGGATGGCTCAGTGATTAAGAAAATGGGCTTGTCAGCTGGAAAGTCCAGGTTCGAGATCTGAGAGTTGTGTGGCAGGATGAGCGCCTGTCTTCACTTAGCTCTTGTCCATCTAACTATTTGAAAGCATGCAGATGTGAGTAAATAAATAGGTACCACTTCGCCAATAGGGAAGGAATGTGATGTCATGCAGGCCAATATGACCATGAAAACATCTTCAGACAGCATGATGAGCACCATGCTCTATTGACAGCAACGACTAGTGGAGTTAAATCCACTAGTTTCCTGTACAAAGCAATTGAGCTAGACCAGTGCTTCTCAACGTTTGTGTGACGGCGACCCCCGTCACACAAACGTTCTGCGCATGCGCCGGGCCGCGCGCATGGGGGCGGCCTCCCACATGCGGCACGCATGCGTGGCGCCGCCCCAATGTGTGATGCGCATGCGCGACGGGCCCCCCATGCGCGGCACGCGTGCACGGCGCTCCCCCCATGCGTGGCGCGCATGCGCAGCGCTCCCCCATGCACGGTGCGTGTGCAGGGCGCCGCCCCATGCGCGGCACGTGTGCACGGCACCGCAAAAAATGGCGGATCGCCGCCTTTGGCGACCCCCGAAAAATGGGCGATCGACCCCAAATGGGGTCGCGACCCATAGGTTGAGAACCGCTGAGCTAGACCTATGTGAACAGAGAAAAAATAATTTCATGAAGGCAATTCTTGTCCTGGGCAGGATCTTTTTTCCCATGTTTCTTTTCAATGGACAACTAATGGATTAAAAATATTCAATTTCACCAATATACTAGTAACACAATCAATTGTTGGATGGAGTTAATCAAGAAATTCAGGAAAGGATGAAATGAAATTCCAAGTCTTGTAATCCAGGAAATATAAAGACTGTAGCAAATCTCACCTTTTTCAAATTTGAAACTTTGAACTGATTTCTAATACTCTACAATTCCACTATGAATTTCTAGTTTCATGTTAAACTACAACAATGATTTCAATTCATATTTGACATACATTTTAACCCTTTTATTAATGAATAAACATATAAATTTAACCCTTTAAAAGTATACATCAATTGTACAAAACTGTCTTCATACAGATGTATTATACCATTTCAGTTTCTCTTAGTTTCACAAATATGTAAAAGGTCTGGGTTTTTTTAAAAAAAAAAATCATGATCATTATCATTTATTTCTCTTATACTCCAAACTGCAATTTCCGTACTCTCTGTCAACAATTGGTTAGGGTTAGGGTTAAAATTTGAGAAGTACAGTCAACTTTATGACAGGCAAGCTGTGTCCAGATCATTTTTTTGTTTTCAATAGGTTATTGAAAATTGAAATTGTATGCATAAAGATATCCATACAATTATCATTTAGAGAACATTAAGCAAATAGGATTGAGTTATATGAATAGGCACAAACCTGGATTGAAATGTGGCTGCCAAATTCAGTAAGAGCTCTTCGTGATGGAAATTTTATGTATGAGCTCTATATAATATTTCATATATGAGAACAGCTGAGAATATTTAGGAATTAGTTCAACATAAACCAGGAACTAAGGCAAAAAATGTGCAATGCCCCTTTGGTCGATCTATGTATACGTAATACTTTAAAGGTAGAAATTATAAATAATCAAAAAGTTTTTCAGACAGACCTGTCTGATTGATTGCACCTTGGCATTTTGACTGCTAGACTGCTATAGTTCTAGCTCAAAATAGCTATTCTAGTCTCCCACTTAATTCTTTAACTCTTTGTCAGCAAAAAAAGAAATTTAAATAAATAATCATATATATATATATATATTTCCATGCCCTACTGCAATCACCCAGATAATCCAGGTACACTAATTTATATATAGCTGCCTTTTCAGATCAGCATTTGAATGCTATAGACATCAGTGGAGAGTACATCCTACAAATGACACAATTTACATATTTGTGTCACATGCCGGGACACAAGTAATAATCATGACTTTATATCAGAGGTCCCCAACCTTTTGGGCACCAGGGACCAGTTCCATGGAGAGGTTTTTCTGCAGACCGGAGGGTGCCTGGTTTTGTGTGCTGCCTGCATCAAATGGATGGGGCTTTGCTTGTTTGTGTGGACTGGCTGCTGGCATGCTGTGGCCCGGTACCGATCCATGGTCCCTGCTTTATATGATATCACCATACATTTTCACCAACATATTTCTATCACCATATGCACACTGTCATCAGCTTACTGATGAAAAAATGCTCCAAACTGATCATGATCTTGCTGTGTAGTTTTATGTAATCATTAAATATCAAGGGGTTAAAAAAAATAGCACTCCACAAGGAAACAACTGCATGGCTGACTTTTTTATCCCCTACCTCTCCCCCAAATGCGGAGCTGTCTACTAAGGATAGGCCAGAACCTAATTCTCTAATTCTCAACTCTTGAGCATCTAGCCAACCTTCACTAATCTAGAAAAAACTAAGAGGGAACCAGTCTGGTTAGTATTTGGAAGAGAGGCCGCCAAGAAATTTAAGGGCTAGGTTTTAAAAAAAAAAATGTGAAAGTTAACTAAAGCAAATTACTTACGTTTTTACTACAAGAAAATTACAAGGATATGTGTCTGTACTCATCAGATGCTGAAATGAAGAGGATTTTGCTGTATAATTGTTAAATGAACCACATGCCCTAATAGACAGCTTAAAACCATTTATATAAATAAAATTATTATTAAACATTAAGTAAACCAAACACAATTTTAACCTAAAGAAAATTTTGTATAATATAGCATAATAGATGTTAATTGTTCAGATGTTTAAAAGTTGAAAGTTTGTAGAAAATATTCAAAGATACACTTGAAAGTTTATGGAAAATATCCGTTAGTAAAAAGGATTTCCCCGATTCAAAAAAATGAAACCTCCATGTCTAATACACCTGTTAGATTTTCCTGATTGCAATCCATTAAAAGAGATAAGTTTTACTCTGTCTAGTTTATATAGAACACAACTCTAAATTCTTTGTAGCAACACTGTAAAAATGTAATAGGAAAACATAATCTTCAAAGTTAGATGCGCAGCAAACAAATCTAATAATAATCTCAATGGAAAAGTCAATTAATTTAGTGTTAATAATCTTAGTGGATTAATAAAGAGAACACTTAGTACAAAATTTCCCTATCGTGTGTAAGCAGTCTTTTGCCAGGGCTATGATTAAACTAACTTATCAAATAAATACAGTGATGTTGTATGAAGTTTCAACTTGGAAGTAGAATTAAGGAGTTCCATTGCAATCTCTGTTTACTCTGAAACAAGAGTAATTTAATTCTTGTCAAGCGTAAGATCTTGTTCACCACAAATGCATACACAAGCACAATGTTTGAAATATATTAAAAAGCAAAGCAAATATATTTCGGCATAAAGTTTGTGGTTACTTAAAAGGCCATCGAAACTTTGAGGTGTCTGTTGCTGAGTCCACTGAAATAAAGGACGATGCTTTTCACCTCAACTCGAAAAAAATACCCACCCACCAACATTAACCAATCTAAGGCTCTAAATTAGAGAGCTTCTTGTCGGTTTTTCGCCCCGAATCCCCCATGCACACTACAGCTCACCATATTCACGAAGCGAGAAGCACACGCGTCTCCTTAAAGAAGCAAAAGTATCTATCTGCTTTTCTGAACCCGGGCGAATAAGACCGAGTCCCACACTTTAACCCTCTCGGCTGGATCGACGGTCACCCAGCTGCTTAGTTCCGTTCCGTTCAAATAGGACTTCGCATCCTATTAAGTCGAGTTTAGCAATACGTTGGATCAATTCCTCTTCCTAACTCAGAGGTGAGCGTTTACGGGGCGTAAAGAAATCACTTCTACAAACCCTGCTAGATTAACATAAGTTTGAGGATGTCGATGTTTAGCTGTGTATCGCTAATTCCTTCCGCTGAAAAAGTGTAGAAATCGCGGATGCCTCCCAAGCAAGTCTATTTAGCAAATGAGCAAAATTACTCTTTAGGAAAAAAAATCAGTTGGTACGGCCACTGAAATGAATGGCACGTAGGGCTGGACGTAGACATATAGCGATAGCCATCCCATTGCCCTCGACAATAATTTGAACATTAAATTAAATTTAACATTAACACACTTCTGATGTCACATGCAGCGTTAACACCCATTTGTTTTAAGGGTACAGTTTTATTGAAAGTAAAGGATAATAGAAAGGAATATATAGAACAATAGAAATAGAACACTGTATAACTCATGTATGCATGATAGCAGGAGATTGTCCGAATTACAGCATCTATGTTTAAAAGCAGAAATTATAATAATAAAAATTAGGCTGGATATATTTTTCTTTTCAAGACTTGCTACCTTTCTCTTTTAATGACTATAGTCTTTATTATTTGTTAGATTTACCTTTCTTCAGGAGCTCAAAGGGGCTTACATGGGAATTTTCCTTCATTTTTATCCCCAGAACAACCACCTTGTGAAGTGAGAAAGAAAGTGGAATTGAACCTCACTCCCCAGACCTACTCAAGTACCTCAGTGATTACACCATGACAACTGTTGACTGTAAACAAAGGGAGAGTGAATTCTGGCAGCAATCCAATTTTACATCAGCAAGCCATGTCACTTGCATACAAGTGCCAAGACCATGTTGCTGCTTATTCTAGAAAAGACAGCCATTATTTTTCCTGGCAGAATGGGACCAAATTTTGAAAGATCTAGCTTTGGGTACACATGCTGGTATATACTGGTTCACTGTCAGAACATTCATTCTGCCTGAATAAACTGGCTGCTGGTTTTTAAAGCAAAATCTGAAACTAGTTCTGAAAGGATTTCAAGTCTGAATGATCAGATCTCCTGGAATATGGGTGGGGGCAACAGAAAGTTTTGGCGGTCAAGATACCCACAAAGTTTGCAAACCCCAGCTCTAGCCAGTTAGCACCAAAAGAAAATGGGAAGCTAAATTCATTAGCCACTGTTGGAAGTCAGCACCCACCCACCCACCCTCCTAAAGAAGGAAATATTTTGGGGGGATATTTTAAAAAAAGGCAGAATATTATATTTCCCCAAAGAAATAATGGAGAAAAAACTTAGGCAGAAACCAGCCCCCAGTCTCCTTCCCCCAAGCAGGCCAGCTTTTAGAAATGCAGATTTGGGGCCACCTATTCATCAGTAAAATGCCTTCATCCACAGCCCCAGAGAAAGTTTGAGTTGATGGGATTAGAAAAACAAAGACTCCAAGAACAGGAACATGACCTTTAGGATATAATAGGATTAACCCACTCCATTAGAATACCAAAAGGGCACACTCAAGCTCAGGTCAAAGTACATTGCACAGAAAAAGGAATAACTCCAGATATAAAGCCCAAGAAGGTATAAAAACCCACCACTCTCAGTTCCATTTTGTCAGTCACCTCAGCAAGATGCTATGTCACTGAAGTTTCTGGCAACTAGATAAACAAGAACCTTCTTTCCAACAGCCTCCATTTTATTTATTTCCAGCTTGGACTGGACCTGATGAAGATTTTTCTGAGGAATATTCCCAATTATCTCACTGCACATGTGCAGCACAGACAACACGTCAACAAGGACCTGTAGAAAAGTGGACAGACTACTGGTGACAGCTTTCAAAAGAAATGGCTACTTAAATGTTTCAAGGAAAGCTTCTACGCACACTATGAAAACACCTCTTGCAAATGTTTTGTACAATCCTACCAGTAGACACTAGTGGGCATTGCAGGTATTAGAATATGTCTAGTCTTCTGAACTAGTATATATATATATATAGATAGATAGAGAGAGAGAGAGAGAGAGTTTTGAAAAACATATTTTCTAAAGGGCATGATGGAAATGTAGAGAATGACGAATAGATTTCATGACTTCAACTGGAAATTGCTTTTGATTTAGTCATGATTACAATAGTACCAATCATGCAACTCTGGCTGAGTTATAGAAGAATACATTTGCAATATTTATTTCAAAATTCCTTAGACTAACTTCACTTCATGCGAGTAGAGTTCAGTTTTTTTTTTTTTTTAAATCATGCTGGAATTAGAGTTAATGTCAACTTTAATGCTTGCTTGGAATACCAAAGGCTCTACTCTATAATAGCACTGTGTCACTTTGGAATAAGCTGTGGATCTCTCACAAAAGTTTAGACATTGAGTTTTTGGAAACTGGGATAGATACAGTAAGCTTCTTGGGGTATATTCAAATGAGATTCAACCATTGATTTCATGTCTTTTGAAATATTTCCAGCTTTCAATAAAGCTCATCATCTAGATTTTTTTTTTTGTACAATCAATTCAATGATGTTCCAGTGCTACCAACAAATTTTTGTTGACTGTTTTTCTTAAAGAACTTTTGAAAAAAAGTATGTGAGTTTTTCATATTCTGTTTTGTTTATGTTCCCTACAATTGTTCCTGTACTACTGCTCCTAACTGTTGCTGTTCGCAGCCATGAAAAACTCTACCTGTTCTGGTGTAACCTGTATGCCTATATACTTAGTAGTTACCTTGTGGTTGTTGTTAGTTGCGAAGTCATGTCTGACCCATCGTGACCCCTACTCATGCCCATTAAAGATTGTCATTTCAGGTATTGCTCCATAAAGCCAGAAGGCGTCCATCTTCTGCTTTACTCTGAAGTTTTCACTCACTAGAGAACATTGGATGCCTACCTGTTCAGAAAAGACCCCAATTCTTTTTTTCCTCCTTTCATAATTATAGGTTTTAAAAATTTGGGCATAGTTGCCCATTGTTTTATTCTGCATCTGTCTCAACACTCCTTATGGAAATATGGGAATTCTCTAACATTAATAGTGGAACAACGCTTCCTGCCCCCCACCTCCCACCCCAGTCCCTCTTTCCTGGAATGCACATTATTTATTTGTTCCAGCTCGCTAATTTTTTCTTGGATTCCTCTATAGAATTATTAACGGTACAGATGGAAATCCAAAAGTTTAAGGTACCATCTGCTAAACTGAGAGTAGAGACACATGTGTCACCAAGTGTAATTGTTGGAGTCTGAGGCACAGAAACTGTAGCATCCATAATGTTATTTTTCTTTTGTTCAAGTGAAAATTCTCAATAAAAATATTTTTATTCAGGCCAGTGGATAATGCTGTATAAGAAGACTAGATTGCTTTTTTAACTATATATCAGATCTTAATAAATTGGTTATTTCTTGAAGTTAGAGTTTAGAAAATAAATTACAGTGACGGAGAGGTATGTTTTAGAAAAAGAAATCAAACCTTTTGGCAGCTGCAAATTGCCAAACTGCAATTACTTCTTTATTGATTCTTTATTTGCTTGTTGGTGTCCATAACTATATTTGTACACAGTTAGTTATACAATACCTCCTTCTCTTATCCTTGGCACAAGCAATGAGCACTCTGATTTTATGCTACTTTAAAGAAAGCCAGGAGCTTTCAGTAGGAAAAATCTTTAAAAGCTAGTGTGTGTGTGTGTGTGTGTGTGTGTATACACAAAACGTGTGTGCATACATTGAATAAAATGATATGGTATAAATATTCCATCATCTCTGCACATCAATGTGTACATTTCATAATTAATTCATGTGGATGTATGGTTAGTGGGTTATTAGGCTTTGTATGTTGTATCATGGCACTGCTATATAATCACATTTCTATTTGTATTCTTTTGCTTTCTGCTTGGCTACAATCCTGGCATAATGGGATAGGATGAAACTGCAGCTCCTGCAACCTAGCAATTGAAAAGCATGCAAGTGTGGTTAGATAAATAAGCGGGAATGTTACTGGGTTCCCTATTTTCATGCTGGCCACATGATGACGGAAACATCTCTCAGACAACGCAGACTCCCTTGGCTGAGTTATGAGCACTTCCCCCTTGAGTCGGTCATGGTTGAACAGGGGAAACCTTTAGCTAGCACTGGAATGGCTCGCCTTCCATTCCATTATGTGCTGACTTTGGTACTGTTTGGATAATATGAATAGCTAGTCCCTGCTTTGTTTTGGTTCGCAGTTACAAAACATACACAAACACAAATACATTGTATGTACATATGTATGTATGTGTGTATAAAATTTCCTTCTTACCTTTATGGATGGTCTGTGTCTTCCTTAATCCAGGGTCTTCTCTGAGTGGTCTGATATTTGAGGCTTCTACACAGCATCTTAGCTGCTTCTAGCACTGCATTCTTTAGACAGAGAGCTCTGATGTTGTTCCTGGGATATGTTGAGCCACTCCCCCAGCTTAGGAATTACAGCCTCAATTGCTCCTTTTTTAATAAAAGTTTTATTATTTTTTTAAAAAATTACAGTCTTTAGTGCTTAGTAAACAACCTGTTGTCTGAGTTCAAATATTTAACATTAACGTTTTCAATATAAATCTGTTCAATACTACACAATCCAGTATTTTTTCCCTGACCCTCCTTTCTTCTCCATATTTTTTCCATTTTCCCTTCATTATACCATTACAGATTTTGGTACTGTTAATGTATACAAAGTTAGATATAAGCATCTTCATCATATTTTATTAATAACAATAATATCAATTCATAAGTCAATAATGTCAATTCATTAATTAATATCTTGTTTTTCATACTCTTGTTAAAGTTTGATTTCCCATCAGTATTTGAAATATCTTTATCAATTATGATTTCCTCAATATTAATTACATTTATATAGCTGAAAATTTTATTCAAATCAATCCTCCTATCTTCATATTTCCCATATCAAAAAAGAAAAAATACTATCTTAATTCTAAATCATATCTTTCATTGTAAAAGTCTAATTACCGTATATGCCGGCGTATTAGGCAACCCGGCGTATAAGACGACCCCCGGCTTTGTCACCGAGCCACATTCCTAGAACGTCGTCTTATACGCCGGAAACTACCAGTATTTCCGGCGTATGACTCGGCGTATAAGACAACCCCCGTCTTTGGCGCTGAGTTTAGCGCTTCCAGGAGTGTCTTATACGCCGGCATATACGGTATATCTAAAAGTCTTCCATTCAAAGTCCATTTTCCATTCTTAAAAGAAAGGACTGATTTCTTATATTTCGTCTCAATGTTAAGATAATCTTAACAGTTATCTCAGTTCTCAAATTTATCAAAACTGTAGCTTTATATTACTTCCACTTCAATATTGTATGTTTCTGTCCCCCATAAAATTAAAACCCTGCTTCCATATACATTAGGAGGTTTTTCGCTTCTTGGGAGCCTTTCCCAGGAAATTCAGTTGTAAAATAGTAAAGAAAGGATCAATATTCTTACCCAGACATGCTGTTTACAATGTATTATGTAATGCTTTTTCCTCTTCAGTTGTCAGCAGCTAATGGCTAGGCAGATGAATGTAGCAGGTCATTCCCCTGATGGTTTGGAGCGCTTTCCTTGGATCGAACAGAAAGACCACCATCTTTCCGTGGTCGACAAGGCACCCCTTCTCTTCATCATCTCTTTGGGACAATTTTAGGCCCTTTTTAGGGCAAAATCAGGTGCGGAAGGCAGAGCCCTGCCTTCCAGCGTCCCGTCCTGCCATGATGCAAACCGGAAGTCCAGCCGTGGTTTAGTAAATTGGGTATCCAAACATAATTTTGAAGTAAACTGATTCATTGAGTCAAATACTGTAGTTCAGGGATCCCCAACCCCTGGGCCGCAGGCAAGCATTCAAAACTGTATTTGTGCATGCACAGGATTAGGTTGCATGTGTGAAACCCCCCTTCCCCACAAAAGGTTGGGGCTGCTGTTGTAGATTACTGAAATCTGTCAAATCAAAGTTTTATTATGCTCTTGGATGCTTTGTACACTTCGAGTCAATGGATTGAGGGGAGTTATTATGCAATCTGTGCAATTTCATGGAGAATAGTCATGAACAAAGTGTTACCGTAGGAACTAACAATTCAAAACCTTTCAGTCTTAAAAGCTGATTTCTCTATAGAGTACAATCCAACCAAGTATGGGGATTAAAATGGAAATGGAAGAGAAGTTTAGATGTGCTTAGCTCCCACTAAACTTAAAGATTGTTAAAATGTTTAATTTTGACCAAATCATACCAAGTCCTTAATGTTTGTTCCTGAATTCCCATTAGAATTCAGTATTTGCATGGATTCCAAATGTTTTGAATATGACAAAAATGGCCCAAAATTTATACACTAGTGTAATTACAATATTCTAAAAAGAACTCAAATGTGATTGCACAAATTAAATTGTAGCTAGGTTCATGCATAACTTTTAGTCATAATGTGTTTTACTTGACTTTTATTTAACTTGTGTGTGAAGCCAGCTCTTGACATTAATAAAGGTTGGTTATGGTTTAGTGACATGTATAAAATGAGCTACTGTATATTTCTTGGCATAAGATAGCTTGGTATAGTGCAACATTTATCAGGAAAAAGCAGAGACAGATAAAAGCTAACATATGTCTTCATTATGTTTTATAAGCAGCCTATTGGAAAATAGCTTCTGATAGCAAATGCTTTGGAAAGAAAGAACAAATGTAGTTTAGTCACAAAACATTTATCTTTAGAAGATATGGAAATAAATGATGATATGTAAAAATAAAATTATTATAAGGCTAATCTCAAAAAAGCATTAAAGTTGACTGGGAGACCACTGGAAAATACCATGTCTAGAGACTGGACTTGAGAATTTGAAGAAAAATACCTGACAAGATGACTGTATCACTCACCTTCCACAAAACTGCCAATAACACAGTAAGGATGTGTCTGTCAACTAATTTCAGATAACAAAGGAATAGGTACATTTATCATACTTTGAATACCATGAATTTGCTGAAAGCCTGCCAGGCACAAAGAATCTGGATCATTCGTAAGGTTGTAGCATAAAAGATTTATTCAAGCCTATTCACAAGAATCTGTTCAACTAAGGTTCAGCCCTAAATAAGTGCCAGATAATGGTCAATGGAATTCAGGAGGGATTAGACTTGGAGTGCCAGTGGGAGCACTTGTTTAGAATGATTTTAAACTAATGATGCACTTATGTCTGCCCCCCACCCCACCCCAGCTCTGTCTGCTCTTCTCCTACAAAGCCTGATTAAAGTCCGATTAAAATGAAATATCTGGCAAGTTGATGCCTGGTACTCATTGCCAAACAAGGTCAAAGAACATCTGCAGAAAGTGACAATAGGACACTAGCAAAATTAGTTGCAAATCATTATTTTAATTTCAAGGGGGTGTGGTGGCTCACTAGTTAAAGACACTAAGCTTGTCAATTGGAAAGTTGATAGCCCAGGTTTGAGATCCGAGTGCCAAGCGAGAGAGTGAGCTCCCATTACTTGTCTCAGTTCCTGCCAACTTAGCAGTTCGAAAGCATGCAAATGTGAGTAGATAAATAGGTATCACTTTGGTGGAAAAGTAACAGTGTTCATGCTCATTGTATAGTCGTACTGACCATATAACCATGGAAATTTTCTTCGGACAATGCTGGCTTCCTCAGTTAAAAAACAAAGATGACCACCACCCCCTAGAGTCAGACACAACCTGATGGGGTAGAACTTTTACCTTTACCTTTGTTTTAAGTTTCTGAAAAACATTTGCCAGATTATCATATAAATTCTCCATACTGGTAACTTAAAGAATCGAGGATATAAAGCATATAAATATATGTGAAAAATATTTAACTTACATAGGAAGATATAGAATACTTCAGTTCTAATTGAATAATAGTAGTAGTAGCAGCAGCAGCAGCACTAATAATCAACATAATAGGCGCTTTGTGTATAATCCCCAAACAACTGGATCACTAGTTAAACACCATCAGCATTTTATA